ACCGTAGTGTGCGTGTGCGAGCACGTGTGATTGCAGTAATTCCTGTGTGCTGTATAGGTACTGTATGCTAATTTCCGTTATTACAGTTAACTATGCGAAGTGATATGGAACTGTAATGCGGTCAAGAGAGCTGCCTGGAACTACGTTCGCCGTGCGTTTCACTGAAAATAATTGCACCTCAGAACGTTCGTCAGCCAATCAGATTCAAGCATTCAACGGCCCCGTAGTATAATTTAGAATACTAAACACAATCTGGTGTGTGTGGAGAGGCAGTAAAGTGTGGCAGACCTGCAACAGAGAAGTTATTGAGAGGGGGCTGATTGTGGTCTGACGTCTCTGGCTTCTCCTTGTAGCCAATGAAAGAGCCATCACTCTTTAGGATGAAATATCGGGGCCTCCAAGTCTTAATGTATTCACCTGCAGACAGAAGGAGGAAGAGATACAAGGAAGTAGATGGCATGAGGTAGAAAGCAGGGAAAAAACAAAAAGGCAGAGACAAGGAAGACAACAACTTTTTACAATCTGGTTTACAATCCAAAAATATGATATGGACTGTTACAAAGAATGAGTAAGCAATTCTCACCTCTCTTGTGGAGCCAGCCCTCTCTGACGATGCTGACCTCGTTCATGCTGGGTTAGGGGTGTGTGGGGCGTAGGGCAGGGAGGCAGGGAGGTTGGGGGAGGGGGAAGCGTCGAGTCTCAGGTCAGGCAGATGTTCAGTACCACAGAGCCAGACTCACCTGGGATCATGCAAATAAACCAAGGTTAACCACAATAAAGTATCACAGGAAGCACCACAGGCTAAGGAGTTTTACATTTCTGTTGCTCATTTTTAGCAAACAGTGTTTATGAACAAAAGAACAATACCAACATTAGACCCCCCACTGACTTTCAATGTATGGCAAAAAAGGCATTTTCATAGTATCTTTTTAGCGTTCCACAGACTAAAGTAAAAAAGGTTTGGAACAGAGGGTGAATAAATGACAGAATATTCATATCCGGGTGAATGAGTCCTTTAATAAAAGCATTTTGCATGTGAATTTATTATTATCATTACTGCATCCAACATCTGAACTCAACAACTTGCACAAATGGTCACCTGACTAAAGCTGCAGGAATGCCACCAGTTTAGAAATGTTCGTAATGTAAACTTGACCTAAACGCAGGATTCAGCACTCTGCAACAGATAAGCCTCAATTTCACATTTAACAGATGAGGGACAGCTGAAATTCATTTGTTATCTTACTGAATAAAACAGAGTCCCATGCACGATCCAATATCGAGCTCTAACTGGGGGCAGGAGGAAAGCAATGAATGAACAGATCATGACAAAGAGGTGAGTGCAAGATGTGCTGTGGAAAATTTCAGTGGTGTTATACACTGCATGAATGAATCTAAAGTGCTGAGTCATTATTCACAAACAAGTATCTTTATATGTGGGATAAAAGTGCTGATGAAGGATCAGGGTCTCGATCCGGGTGGATGCTAATGGATATAATCCATGTTCATTTTTTTGTCCAGGACATCTTTAAGAAGATGTTATCTATTGGCGCTTTTCCACTGCGTGGTACGACTCGGCTCGGTACGGCACGGCTCGGTTTGCGTTTCCACTGCAGTTTAGTATCGCTTTAGAATGGGCGGGATTATTCACATGTCGTTATAGTTGCGCCGCCTCTATTGCCGCGACTCCTAAAAAACTTTTTCATTCCGCGTCGCCCCATCAAGCTCTCGCTGGATCCGCTCCTCTGCTATCAACGAGAGGAACGTCTGTACTTCCTCAACAGGGGGAACAGCCACTTTTTGGTTGTTAAAAAAAGGTGCACTCGTTCAAAACAGCTGCGTTTGATCCTTCGCTGGCTGTGCTGATTTAAATCTAGCGCTTCTTTTGTGTCGCAAGTTCAGTGACGCAGGTAGCGATGATTCTCTCCGGCCAATCCGTGATCAGCAGAGTTTATACGTCACGTTTTGGTAACGGTACGGTACGCTTGGAACCCCAACCGAGGTGGTACTAAAAAAAGTACCAGGTACCAGGTACTGTACCCAGTGGAAAACCCCCCAAAAGTGAACCGTACCGAGCCGTACCGTGCCGTACCATGCAGTGGAAAAGCGCCAAAAGTGCAGTCTATGAGTGGACCACTGATCACCTTTTATTATAAAATGGCTTATGAGGAAAAATGCAAATATTAATCTCATGTCTGTCATAATAGTCGGAAAGCACAACCAATCCAAAAAGACAAGACGGATACATTATCACATTATCTTTTAAAGATGCCTCATTCTTTGATTAATAATTTATTGTATCCATATTAAAAATCAAAATATGAGAATATTTGATATAAAATTATATTCATCATGTGTTTAATATAATTAAATGCATTACCCTTATGATGATGGTGATTATGCTTATGCTGTATTTGTTCTAAAACCATCTACCTCAATTGATTTGCATGTGATTAGACTGACATCAGTTACAAAAAGGAACAAATACAAATTTTCTTCTTTATGTTCCTGTGGAACTTAATTTGAATTTTAAAACATGTTTAATTCATGTATTGTGCTTTGATAAATAAAATGTGTGCCAAAAAGTTAAATAACCACGAAACTTGCATTCCCTGTCCTTATTTCCAAGGATATTACTCTCATAATATACATATAATGTAAATGCTGGGGTTTTAAAAATCAACACATGTGAAGAGAATAACACACAATGAACACGGGACAAGGATGAGCCTCTTTTACCGCAAAGTGTTTTTAAACCATTTTTAACAGGAAATGAGAGAGCACTGTTCTATCACCATGGAGATGCCAATTAGACTGCAGTAAAGCCAGTCTGAGCCACAGGTGAAAGTGCCACTTTGTACGGTGAACAAGACAAAACACCTGCTGTTTTCAGAGGCGACATTAGAAAACACAAGCTTTTGCAGCAAAAAACAATGCTTGATAACTGGGGGACAGAATGTTCATCCACCTGAAGAAAATGTGAGCATAGTTTGTACATGTATCAGCTGATGTTGCGGGTGGTTGACAAGGCATTTTTGGGAATTTCTTAAGCATTGCAACTCATAAATATATTAATACAAAAAATTATATATTGATATAACTTAAAAGATTACTTAAAGGAATAGTTAAAAACTAGTTCAAAAATAAAAATTCAGTCATCACTTCATAACATGCCCACAAGGCTATCAGCTCCAACAATCAGTTTTTTTTTTTTTTTTTTTTTTAAGGGGTCATATGATGCGATTTCAATTTTCCCTTTCTCTTTGGAGTGTTACAAGCTCTTGGTGCATAAAGAAGATCTGTAAAGTTGCAAAGACTAAAGTCTCAAATCCAAAGAGATATTCTTTATAAAAGTTAAGAGTCAACCACGCCTACGAAAAACGGCTCATTCTATCACGCTCCCACATGTCTACGTTACGATGTGGAAAGATTTGCATAACGCCGCCCAAATGTTCACGCAAAGAAAGAAGGCGTAACTTTGATTCTCGCTGTAGTATTGTTGCTGCTGCCGCTGCGTCGTGGAGATGCTGTGTGTTTCGTTATGAAAGCAAAACTACTTTGTTTGGCCTTCCAAAAGAGGACACAACTAGAAATCAGTGGTTAAGTTGTATTTACAACAGTGTTCCGGAACAGTTCAACCCAAATACTCAGATGTGTGCTGCGCATTTTATGGAGGACGAGGACTGTTTCCTGGGCCAGTAGCCTACAATGCGTCTGTGGCACAAAGGCTGTTTCTATAGTTTCAACTTTGCAAGGACAGTATGGCGCTTCTGACTCACAGCCTTGTAAGTACGTTTTTTATATTTAAAGAATTTGCCACTGACGATTCAAACACGAGTTTTGAGCAGTGTAGAGTAGCACTTGATATTTGTCGTTTCTCCGATCACAAATGCAGACATGGTTTTATGTTTACGCAACGCGTAAAAACACAGTATAAGTCATCTGTAAGTACGTTTTTTATATGTAAAGAATTTGCCACTGACGATTCAAACGCGAGTTTTAAGCAGCGTGGAGTAGCACTTGTTGTTTGTCGTTTCTCCGATCACAAATGCAGACATGGTTTTATGTTTACGCAGCGCGATACGCAACGCGAAAAAAGACAGTATAAGTCATAATAATCAGTAATTATGTCCCTACTGGTTGCAACAAATGCCTCGTTTATAATGGGTTTTACTGGTTTTGTCTCGGCTCGCCGGGATACGGCATCACAGTATGGGCAATGAGCTTTGTAAAAATCGACACGTTTCAGAAAGGCGGGGCATACAGGAGAAACAATAATGTACATTATGTGGAAAATAATGTTTTTTTAACCTTAAACCGCATAAACACATTGCATTACACCAAATACACAAAATAATGTTCTTTTTAGCAACGTCATATGACCCCTTTAATAATTGAAGTCAGTGGGCTCCAGTGACACTTTACACTTCCATTGTATGGCCAAAAAGCAGCTGAAACTTTTTTAAAGATCAGGTCATATGGTATTTTAAAGTGTCCTAATATTGTGTTGGAGTCCCCTACAACAGGTTTAAATGCATCTAAGGTCAGAAAACATTGTAATTTTCTCAGAATATACATTTAATTTTAGAGTCATTTGCCAATTATTTCTAAACTATTAGTTCCAAGCAAATTCGGAGCAAACCCCTCCCTTTCATAAGCCTACTCTGCTCTGTCAGCTGGCCAAGCCTGCTGTGATTGGCACAGAGAGGAGTCCTTGAGCAAGTTAGCGAGCGCTACCATTGACAAAGCACCTTTGCATCAAACAATAATATAGTGCTCCAATCCGTTCTTATAATAATGACATAAAATACAAAAACACTTATGCAAGCGAATCGTGCCCACAGCTAAAGTTTAGCTGCTAAACTGTGAACCCTTAAAACAATAATGGTGGATACGTTAGTCGAGTGCTAATGTGACTAACTGAGGAAACAATACAGTTTGTAAACCAAAATATGTCTACTGTAATGTATGAAGGACGGCAGACAAAAGACGCTGTCTTAACTTTTAATCAGAACGCAGAACAGCTGTATTAAAGGCGCAGCAGCCTAACTAACTCGCTCGTCTCTCCCGCATTAACCCTATAACTGCCGGTGCAGCAAAATAAACAGCAATTTCACAATGATTATAAAGTCTGTGCGCTACACTACATTCTTTATTATTAAACAAAGTAATTAGAACAACGTCAGTCTACATTAATCGACACATTCTTAGGAAATAGTGGGTTCACAGCGAATTATCAGAACTACTTCAGTAAGACAGTAATACCGTGCCTTACCTGGAAACCTAAAGCTGCACTATAGGTGTACATCACATATTAGCAGAGGAGGACAAAGTACTCAACTCCATTACTTGAGTGAAAGTACAGATACTGCTGGTCAAA